CTATGCCAATGTCTTTGAGAATTCCACCTAACTTATCTTCCAGCAAGTTTAGTGTTTCTGTTTTAATATTTAGATCTTTAATCCACTTCAATTTTAGTTTAGTGCATGGTGAAAGATAGGGGTCTAACTTTAATCTTTGGCAAGTTGAAATCCAGTTCTTCTAACACCATTTATTAAAGAGGCTATCTGTCCTCCAGTAGTGTTCATTCTTCTGAGAATTTTTGATACAAAATTTTATCAAAGTCTGGCCCACATGTCTTAGAAATAGTCTTCAAGTATACATGAATATTTAACATTTACATTATGTGCATCACATTGCTTAAATTATAGTCCTTACATGAGTGACTTCCAGTTGCTTCCATTTTATTTTTTTGGTACTGGGGATCGAACTCAGGACCTTGCGCTTGCACAGCAGGCAGCAGGACCGCTGAGCTAAATCCCGAGCCCTCCAGTTGTCTTTCAAATTTACAGTTAACCCTTGTAAAGATGTATTGCATGCACTCAGAGGTGACATTGCCTATTTGTGCCACCTGGGCTTGTTACACGTGAACTCCTGGTGTTTGCAAATGCCCCAGGTGACACCAATTCATGTATTGCTGTGGACTAGTGTTGAGCTCAAAGCCCAGGATGTCTGGGTCATCATACCTGCTGGACCAGACTGTGAGTCTGGCCAGAGAATTCCCACAGCCCCAATCCCTGCCTTCTTGGTTGCTGCTGGAGCTTCCTGGTTCCATAGAGTTGCACTTGTTCTGGACTTGGAAGTTGGTCACTCTTACTCAGTGGCCCGATGTGAGGAGATCCAGAATGGAGCATTGCCTGGCTTTGAGAAGTAGGATCCGGTGGGGCTGGAGTGAAAGTTCCCAGAAGAAGCCAATCCCTCTGTTAGGCGAATGATGTTTGCCACTGTGGACTGGATGTGAACCCAGACTTTCACTCACCTCAAGCCACCCATGTGATGTGGATGCCACCTCCCCACGAAAGATTTGCATAACCGTTCCTGGTGCTTTAGATGTATATTTTAACCATGATTCTCAGGTAATTTTTACATCTAAAACACAGCTATGTAGATTACAAGTTAAGTTTCTTAAAATTTGCTTCAACTTGTTGTGGTTGCCAAGGCTGTGTTTTTAGTTATTTTAACATAGAGTTAGAGCATAGAGTTAAGGTAGTCTGAAAATTACTGTGTAAAAATTGATCTCCATTTAACAGTTTAGGCTACAGGCTTTAGATGACTATACTTTAACAAATCAATATATATGTGTTCATCTATGGTTTGCAAGGATTCAACAGTTTTTGAAAAATAATTATTTTTTGGTTAAGAGTTGATGTACTATGACTGTTTTCCAAACTGTGGTTTTGATGGACCATTCATATATGTGTCATGAAAAGTGCATAGCATTTGGAAAATACTGAGTTACATAAATTGTGAGTTACATAAAGTGTGTGTGCGCGTGTGTGTCTAAACTGATTTCTAAATGATACTTCTCAGTTTAGCCAGTTATATCTCCACTGTTTTTGCTGGACAAATTTTTTAGGTTAAGTTTATAAGAATTTCAGAAATTTAAGAAGTCTGAGATTATCAGTGAGATTTCTCACTGAATGAAGTAATGATCAGTGTCTTCTGTAAACTCTCAGGGAACCCACTACACTACACTTACTTATCCTTGGCAGATTCACCTTCTGTGAAAATCAGTTGTGTGTGTGCCTTCTTTCATTTATTCCTTTCTTCCTTCCTTCCCTTTTTCTTTCTTTCAACTATAAATTTGAGGTACACAAATGTCTACATCTACTCTTGCATACATTTAAAAGTATACCCCCACTGGAAAAAGAGATCAAGCCCTACTTATCTCTAACCACTTAGCGCCCTCCCACGTGAGTATTTGAGGTGCTCCTGTGGTATCTGATTGAAGGGAGGTCAATTCTGCATCCTAGGGAGGCTAAAGCCTGAGAGAGGAGCAGCCTAAGTCCTGATGTGTTATCTGCCTGGCAAGTTTATTTGGGGGCTGCATTTGTGTTTGGCTGTCTCCTCCCTGTCCAGATTTCCATGTTTGTTCAATATATTTCCTCCTCTGAAAGAGTATGGTAAAAGAAGTTCCCCATTCCTACCTATCAACCTTCATTTTCAGTTAAATTACTAGGAAAATAGTATTTTTTGACTGATTAATTGGGTGATGTCAGTCTAGACAGACAAGGGTTTCATAGAATGCAGTGTGGTACTTAGAATAGTTAGCATTGTATCCTTGAATGCATATGCTATACTTTTTACCTAATCAAAAGTAATTTTTGTTTGATCAAATGTAAGATTGCCAAGTGCCTAATGAATACTTTGTGATAATATTACAAAACAATATGAACGTTTTTGCTTTTGAAAAATTACCTACAATTGAATATGGAATTATCAAAAACCCACTACAACTTTTATAAAAAGGATAGTTGCCATTTTATTTTTACAAAAATATCTGCATTTCTTTTTTGATATTCTAAAAGATCATATGGTCTTCAGAGGTAAAAGTTGTTGGTTACCAATATAGTTTCATATTGCAGAGTGGGAAATTTAATCTTCATCTGTAATAATTCATCTGCATTCCAGAATTAGTTCTTAATTTGTTGTTTTAAAAGTTTTTCCTAAAATTTTTCCATAATTGTTACCTTATTTCTTCACCAACACTTATTCTGTCCCTCACTATTTTCTGAAACATAAAAGCAGTGATATTTATAACCTGTAGCTAGGTATAGGGAATAAACACCTGGAGGCATAAAGGGCAGTTGTCCTGTTCTATTTTCTGGCCTTCTGCTGGAGTATTTAATTTTGAATGCCAATCTTATTTACAGAGATATAGGCTTTTATATTTAAAATATTTTATTTAATAATCAATTATATATCATTATTTCTAAAATGGTAACTTTGATTGCTTTTAGCTAGGAAATTCTATGGCTGGAGCATTTAGAATTTTTTTGGTTAAATTGATTTCAAAATGAATTGTATTTTGTTGTCTTATATCAAAGGTAAGGGGATCTTTAAGGTTTTGCCATTTTGCAGGCAGTCTTTTTTGTTTTTTAGCTAGTGTGTGTCTTCATAGCAAAACTCACTGACCCCATTTATCTCTCCTAAGGATCTCCAACAATTATGAAAAACGTTACACTGCCCTGTGGCTTGCTGATGTTGCTTTTATATTTCCCTGGAAATTTGCTCCCTTTGTACTTTTTACACAGGTAAGATGATTTTCAACATTGACAAACCTTGCTAGTTTTTCTAAGAAAAGTATTAGGCACAGTCCTTCCAGGCTATCTTTTTCTATACAGACTCAACTGTATAAAGAGGTTTCAAACCAGAAGACACATTAGAGGGCTGAGGATTTAGCTCAGTGCCACTCTACCTGCCTTGCAAACAGAAGCTCCTGATTATGATCCCCAGTACAAAAAAAATCAGGGAAGCAAGGGGTTTTGCTGACTCCCTCTCCCCAAGAAGATACACTGAGTCTCATTCTCCCCACTCTCCTGTGGACTGTGGGGAGGAGGCAGAGTACTCAAGGAGCCAGGAAGCATTGGAACCTCTGGTACTGCCAGAGGAAGAGGCCTGCCCAGTTGAAATAGTCAGTGATGACTATTTGAATTAGCACTGATGAGGCAGTGATGGGGAGAGAGGACCACAGAGAGTGGCCACACCTGGAAGAGGGATGTGCAGACAGGGACTGGGGTGGGGCAGGGCTCCACTCAGAGTGGAACCCCAGGGTTGGATCACCTGGCTATTCATGGAAAGTCAAGGGGCTGGAGGTTGTCTGCAGATGAGAGCAGTCAGGAAAAGGGAGGCTGTGATGCCTAGGATGGCCCTTCCAAGGATCAGAAGGGGGTCTTCTAAGCTATAGCAAAGGGGCTCTTGAGAATTAGGAGAGGGGTCAGGGACTAAAGATGCCAACACCCAGAGAAGCTATGTCTGGGGAAGACGGTGGCCTGCATTCAGATACCAGAGGCCCCGGGCTGAGGAAGGTGCACACATCCAGCCTGCCAGAAAAAACCCAGGAGCTGAAGGCAGATGGTCCCCAGAACTAAGGGGGAATAGTTGGGGGAATGTCATGTGGGAGCTTCCCACAAAGACAGCCATGGAAGAAGGACTGTGGGGTAGGACCTCTCTCCTCCCTAAGCCGTGCCATAGTGAGAGCCTGGCTCAAGGGAAAAGGAGCTCAATCTGTTAGTTACCTGAGGTTCTTGCACCAGGCCAGGCATCTCTTGAACACAGTCTGCTGTGTGAAGAGAACAGAGCATCACCTTGGGGACTGGCACAGGGTTTCTCATGGGGCAAGCAGACGAGGAGTATAACTGGGCCTGCCTGGCAAAAGGTTCAGCATGAGGCCGAGGGCAGACAAATGAGCAGAGGGTGGAGGAGGACATTCACTTGACAGGGGACATGGGCTCAACCCTCAGAATCCTGGAGGAACTACTGAGTTAGAGGCTGGGTAGCAGCAAATACCTGCATTATTAGGAGCTTTGAACATACCATGGTGGCCTCATGACATATGAATATATCACTTTCAAACTCAGAAAGCATGAGGGTTCTTTTCTCCTCTGAGATACACATTTGGGAATGAAGGTGTCCCGGTCACACATTTAGGGCTGAAACCATTTGCACTGAGAAGAGTCAGCAAGAGTTCTGTTGAACAGGAAGGTGCTGTAACCAGGCTTTCTGATCACAATGGGGGAACATTTTAACACATGTGTAAGTTGTGTCATTTCCATGTCCCTGAGGATGGATGGGGCCAGAGTCCTCTGGGAAGGAGAGCTCCTGCCTCACAGTGACCTCCCTTTGATGGGAAAAGGAAGTAATTGCACTTTTCTTCTGTTCTTAAAGAACCTTGTTGGAGGTGCAGTCTGAGGTCTGCTTACCTAACAGCCTGGTTCCTGGTGGTGCTCAAGCAGCACTGACCATAGATGCTTCCTCTCAGGGTCATTTGGAGTCCATATGGGAACTCCATGAGCCCTATGCACTGAGGGCCCAGACCAGGTTGCCCAGTGCCTCCTGTGATTTCTTCCTAGACCCAAATAATCATTCCCACTTTCTTTTTTTGGCCAGGGGACTGAGGTGAGAGCTGGGGGTTTACCGTATAGGCTAAGTAAAAAAACCCAGACATGTCCTCCTCCTCATAGTTCTCCACTTCTATGGACCAGTCTTTCTGCTTCTTCTGGCCAGAGGCAGGAAGTAGAGTGCTAATCGAGGGACTGGATCAAAAAGACCCAGCAGGTCCATCTGCCACTCATCTTCTGACTCCCACAGCCTCTCTTCCTTTTCCGGCCAGAGGCCTAAGGACAGAAGTTGGATGCCATCAACAGACCTGAGGAAAGAAACCAGGTTCACTATGAAACCTCACTCTTTGGAATTCAGCCTTTGATCATCTAAGCACAATGTCCCCTTCCCAAGCACAAAACGTTTTCCATTGTCATCTCCTTCAGAGTCATTTTTGCAAATTTTACCTTTGCTGTTCTCCATCTGCTTTCAGTTCTCCTTGCAGGGTCCATTGTTCCCTTCCTTCCAAACTCCACCTGTTGTAGACACATTGTCACAGGTGTGTGAAAGGCAGCTCTACTTGAGTCTCTGCTTCCCCTGTGCATCCTGGGAACACATGTTCTAACCCCTCCTTCCTACCAGCCCCACAGATTTTTGACTGATGGGGCTCTCCTTGTCCCACATCCTGTCTTTTCCTATTCCCTTCCCCGGTATGGAAATAATGATGGGAATGTGTTCTGGGAAAGGGGCAATCCATTGAAACTGTCATTGTGCCAACCTGGTAGAATGAACTCACCCAGCTCTAAGAACTAGCAGGGCAGGAGGTGAAACCATCTCATATAAGCACTATGTCTCTGTGGTCCATCACTGGCCAAAATATAATATGTAGCACGTGAATGTCTATTGCTTCTGTTGTACAGCCAGCCCTCTATGCATCTATGGAATTGTTTCCTCCACCTGAAGAGAAACTCTACCCCATGAAACCATGGATGCCCAGTCTCTTCTCACAGCCTCTGGGAAGCAGTGTTCTCCCATTGTCCCTATGAATGGACAGCGCTGGGATCCTTGTATGCCTAGCAGTCCTGTGGACTCAGACCACGTGTGTCTTTGGTGTCTGCCTTCTTCCTCTTAGCACAATGTCCTCAGGGTCCCTTGAGAGTGCAGGATGTCAGAGTGCCGTCCTTTCTGAGGAAGGTATAACTGTCTACTGTGTAGATAGATGACAGATGTTGTCATAGCCATTTATTCATAATGGGACATTCGGGTGAATTCCACACTGGGATTCTAAATTTTGCTTTAATCCATTTCTGGTATCTGTTGATGTTAAGGCTGTCTGTTCTTTAGGCTCTGTGTGAAGGTTACTTGGTACTTTCATCCCTGGACATGTCTTCCAGCAACCCACACAAGGCATAGACTTCATCATGCAGAATTCTGCCTTCAGGGATCTTTGGCCTCTCTTCCCAGGGCCCTAGGACTTTCCTCAAACAAGTTAAAAGAGGCCTAGTGTCCTGGCCCATGATGTAATAGTAGCACTCAAGAAGCTGAGGCAGGAGGATGGCTGAGAGTTTGAGGCCACAATCACTATGTATCTCAGGCTGTCCTCAAACTTCTCACATCTGTCCATCCTCACCCTCCTGAGGGATGATATTACATAGATGTGCCATTCACCCCAGCTAGGAATCGGAGAACTTAGATGATATACCAAAAGTCCACATGATACAGGAGTTTCTCTGTGGCATAGCCATAGTATGTAGTGGTGGATCCTGTGGGAGGTGGGACCTACCAGGAGGGAATGAGGTCATTGGGGCTGTGCCCTTCAAGGCTCAGCAGGACCTTTTCCCTGGCCTCTTCCTCTCACTGGCTTCCTGGCAGCCAGGAGTTGAGAAGATTTGCTCTTTAACCTGTTCCCATCATGCCCTGTTGCCTTGGCACAGAACCAGAAGCAAAGCAGCAAAAGTTCCTCTTTTTAAGTGTCTGCTTCCAGTAAGAGAAAGCTAATGTATGCACTAACTTGGTAACTTAAATTCTTTTTTCAAGACTGTACAGACAGATTGATGTTGGGAACATATTCAGGATAGGAAGAGCCTGAATGTAAATCAGAGCACATTAATGATGATGAGCAGGGTGTCTCTAAGAGATTCTCAGCAGAAAATGTCACCTCCTACAAAGAAAGATTTTCGCCATGTTTTCCTGATGGACTAATAGTTGGAAGAAAGAAAGGAGGATGATATTCTACTGCGATGGTAAGCATGTCTTTGCTTTTGGACAAGAATTACTGTCCAGAGACTTGTGTCATTAATGAAATGTTTTTTTCTAGAGCTTTTCCTCATCTTGAAAATGTGGCTGGCCACAGTATGTATCTAAATCATAAATTTCTGCAGAGTATAAGTGGGTTGCTGCATTTTCACCAAAGTTAAGAGTTAAGAAATTTGACTCAAGTATTGTGGCTAGGCCTGTAATATGGGCACCCTGGAAAGCTGAGTAAGGAAGATCACAACTTTAGGTGAGCCTGGAAACTCAGTGACTTACAGAGATCCTGTCACAAAAAGAAAAAAGAGCTTGGGACCTAACTCAGGGTGTGGGCCTTGGACTCTATTGTGTTGCAATAAAAAAGGGGAAAATGTGTGGGCAAATATCAGTGACATTTTGGACACAAAACTAAGCAGTCTTCCCTGACACTATCACAAGGGGAGGTGAGAAGACAGTTCATCTTTATATTCTCTCCAGAAGAGATGCATGGCCTCTGTCTTCTTTAACATGTTTCTCTTGCCACCACCCACCAGCACTTTTTCATGTTAGATATGTGAGTGAAGCTGAGTTAAAGAATGACAGCTCAGTGTTCACAATGAAAAAGGAAGGACAGTATGATTTATATTTGTAAGTGTTTGGGGGTACTACCACCTGGGTATAAGTAGAATTCATGTATGACAGATAAAAATCTCTCTTAAAAGATAAAATATTTATTTATCTATGCCACTTAAAATACTTAACACAAAACATGATAAACAACAGGGTTATAGATACTTATTAAATGTGTAATATTTCTATGGTCAATATTGACAATAAACCATAAGCTTTTTTATTATATATTAAAGGAATCTATGACAACACTGTGGCTCTAATATTCTATTTTAAGTAATTCCTTCCCAATCTGATATTTTACAGGTAATCTCCAAATGTTATCAAGTATACAGGGTACAATACATATAAAAATACATATAAAAATAGCAGATGTCCAACTTGTAGTTCAGGGGAAACTTGAAAGAGGAATGTAAAAGGTAGAAGGTGATGGGAAACCAGTTCCTCCTTTCCCCCAGTAACTTCCCCAGCTCCAACAAGTGTGCCGTGGTGATTCTACTTCATTATTCCCCTGGGCCCAGAGGTCTGGAAGGAAGAGAAGAGACAATGTCAGACTTCATGAGGGTATTTTTCTAAGAGAGGAGATTGACACTCAAATGTCAATCCCAACTATAGTTTCAATGAACTTACAAATCCTATCTCTAACCCTTCTGTCTTCAACATGGACCTGAGTGATCACTGCCAGTTGTGGTTCTTGGCAGACTGGGTGAGTATGCAGTACTCTACCTGGATCCTCTGGGATCCAGGCCATGATCTTTCCTGAATATGGCCTCTCTGGCTGGGGCTGCCTGAAGCTCCTGGTCCCTCCCCTTAGTTCGTGGGAACCTATTTATTCTAACTTGAAGGACTCCCCTTCTGATGCAAGTGACCTCAATGCCCTGTCTCAAAGAGACTTTTGGAGGTGCCATCCTGGACACCATGGCTTCCCTTCTAACTTCTCCCAACATGAATGCTCTCATTTGCAGTCAACTTCCAACCCACTTAATTTCTCCGAATACGCAGCCCACCTGACACTGGGGTCTCTTCTCTGAGTGGAGCCCTGTTGCCCCCTCCCAGTCCCTTTTGACACATCCCTCCTCTTCTATGTGTGCCTGCTCTCTGATTAACCTCATATCTCCCCATCAGTACCTCCTGGCCATGGTTATTTCATACTTCAGCCACGCTGGACTCTTCCCCTGGCAGTACCAGAGGATCCATTTCTTCCTGGCCCTGTGAGTTCTATGCCTCCCCTGAGAGTCTTTGATGGTCACCTTGGTGGATAGGGTATGAAGACTCTCACCTGTCCTCCTGATTTAAACCATGCTGCACTGCTAACTGTGGAAAATGAGCCTCACACTACAAGTTTCCTTCTTTTAGTAAAATTTACAATCTAACATCAATATCAGTTAAAGAATGAAACCAGGAGAAACAGAGCCCCCAGAGAGCACAGGTCACAAGAGTGACATGAGGCCTTGAGCCCACAGACCCAAAGGGCAGCCATTTCGGACCCTTCTGATGATCTCCTTCCTTAGCAGTACCAAATGTCTTTTTTATCCCTGTCCTCTGGGTTTCAAAGACTGATGTCCCAAGCATGCTCTTCTTACAGGGCATCAAATGAGTATAACATGCTCCCTGATGTTCTTTCTGACAAGTCATTCCACAAGCCATGAGCAAGACCTATCTGTGTTTCCAGATCATCTTTCCTAAAGATGGGCCAACATTTCACTTGCATCATGACTACTACATTGATAATTATTTCACCTAGATCCAGGTTGGAGATCTCCCCAGGAATTCACCCACTGTATAATCTCTCTGTCACCCAACCAGCTCATCATCTCGATGTTTCTTTCTTTTCCTTCATTGCTCCTTCCAAACACAATTGTATCTGTGTACATTGGTTTCTGCCCATGTGTCTTCATACATTGAAGCTGAATAAAACTCTGAATGGTCAAGTTGGTTAAATCACCCAAACTATGATGGTCATGGTGGTGCACACTTGCAATCCCACCCAATCCAGAAGCTGCAGGGCAAAGATTGTTTGAATCCAGGGGCTCAAGACCAACAGTTCAATGTCAAAGATGAGACCCTGTTTTACAACAAACAAATGTGGGCACGCTTGTGCACCCCTGTAATTAATGTGCCCTGGGAGACTGAGGTAGAATAATGGAAAAGTTGAGCCATCCTGGGCGACGTACAATATAGCAAGACATTTCCAAAAGCAAAATAAAAAATGGACTGCAGATTTAGATCACCAAGAAAACTGTTGGGTTCAGTCCCAGGACTTGAAACAAAACAAAACTCCCAAACTGCAGACATCCTTCCCTGATCTGCCATCTCCTCCATTCCAACAGTAGTTTCATCAAGTCCCATTATGATAAGACATTTTGGATTCTTTTTTTTTTTTTTTTTTTTTTGGTATTGGGGATTGAACTTGGGTCCTTGTGCTTGCAAGGCAGGTGATGGAACCACTAAGCTAAATCCCCAGCCCATGGATTCTTAATTCCTCATGGCTCACTTCCTTTACCTAAGCTTCTTTGGGGGAAAAACTGTTGAGGGCTGGTTCTTGAGAAATTATCCATGCATTCTTAAAGCAATCCCTTGACTGGTTTTCATTCTGCAGGTGGCTTCTGTTACAACACTGAGTCTATGAGGGACTCTCTATGGCCTTTGTCTACCGATAAAGCTGCCATTCATTCCTTCATTCATTTGTTCAACAAAACCTACTGTGATGCATCCCATGTCAGGGATGGTAAAGCAGTGGGAACATACATGTGGGAAATGGCGGACTTCGTGTGTTCTCTGAGCCAAGCCCAGTACTGGCTATTGAGGAGGAGAGGGATGGACACAGAAATATACCAAGGTCATGCTCCCCCAGATGCTCCTCATGTGGTCAGCACACAGGTATTGGCCATGAGGACAAGCTGCAGAGAAGAGGTATAGTGGTGTCAATTTTATTTGGTGCCAGGGACAGCAGTCTACCTCAAGCTTTGCACAGGGGTTCTTTCTTCAGGCCCAAGGTCACAGGCCCATTCATATTGGCCCTGCCAAGCCCTGGCCTCTCCACAGATACCTGACTAGCACCAGCATGGGGTAAGGCAGATGGGACCCTGAGTGGACAGAGCCACTAGTTCTTATTCAGAGCTGATGTGGGGTCAGCTCCTTGCTGGTTGTGTCCCTAACCAGCAACCTGCTTTCTTGCCCAGGTACCTGGCCAATGACATCGAGGAGAATGATGAACTTCAGAAACTACACATGTTCTTCTTCCTCTATGGGAGGAACATGGCCCAGATTCCAAAGTTCTACAAGCTTTGTTTTTATTTCTATATGCCTCACTTATCTGTATGTCCAATTCTCCATCTCTGTCTGGGGAGTTTTCTACTATTACTTCTGTGAACAGTTTTTTTAATGTCAACTGTACTTTCTCCTGTTCTTTTGTGGACTCCAATCAGTCTTATATTCTTCTTTGCATCATCTAGCAGCTGCTGGATTGATTTCTCATGGTCCCTTACTATCTTTAAGAAATCTCTGTTTTCATGGTCCTTAACCGCAATCCTGTCTTCTATATCTGATATTCTGTCTTCAGATTCTCTTAGTCTTCTGTACATGCTTTCAGTGGAGTTTTTAATCTCCTGAATATCTGTTTGAATCTGTTTCATGGATTCCATTTCTTTCTTATGTTGGACGATCATGGTTTCCATCTCTTTCTTATGCTGGGCATTCATGGCTTCTAGCATGTTTCTGATCTCATCTATTTTCTTATCTGTTTCTGTTCTAGAGGCTCTAATCATGTCTTTCACTCTGCTCACCATTTCTGTTTTTTTTTTTTTTTTGTACCGGGGATCAAACTCGAGTCCTTGTGCTTGCGCAGCAGGCGATGAAACCACTGAGCTAAATCCCTGGCCCAACCATTTCTGTATTTATCTGGGAGATTATTTCTGCTTTGAATTTTTCTAGATCCTCATGCATCTGTTTTGTTACTTCCTGTGCTATCAGTTGAGGGTGTACAGGTGGTTGATTATCAGATTTTTCCACCTCATTTCCCCAGAATCCGCCTTTTCTGGGGTGGAAGCCTGAGTTTGTGCCTTGCTTAAATGTCTTCTCATTTTTGTTTGTGTTACTGTCCTTGGTTTAATTCCTGGATTGATATTTCAAAATTGCTTAATGTATGTATCTTTGTTGCTTGTGTTTAAAACCCTTGTGGAATGACTGCTTTTCAGAGGTGTCTTCCAGATATAGCTGGTCTTTAAGTTTTGAGACTCTATTGACTCTGAGGCTATTTCATTTTCATTATACCAGGAAGGACAACTGATTAGATCACTCACAACATCTTAGCCCAAATGATACAATCAACAACACCATAAGCGGAGTGCGGGATGGAGCAGGTGCTCCAAGCCACGCCTGGATC